TCACGCCTATAATCTCAACACTTTGGGAGGCCATGGCGGGTGGATAACCTGAGGTCAGGAGTTTAAGACCAGCCTGGCCAACATGGTGAAACCCCATTTCTACTAAAAATACAAAACCTAGCAGGGTATCATGGCATGCTTGTAATCCCAGCTACTCTGGAGGCTGAGGCAGGAAAATTGCTTGAACCTGGGAGACAGAGGTTGCAGTGAGCTAAGATCGTGCCATTGCACTCCAGTCTGGGCAACAGAGCAAGACTCCACTTCAAAAAAAAAAATCTTTAGTATGCTATTATATGAGTTTTACAGTTTGGCTCATTTAGGTCTTTCATTCATTGTGAGTTCATTTTTGTGTATGGTATGTATGAGTTAAGAGTCCAACTTCATTATTTTGCATGTGTATATCCAGTCATTCCTGGAAATCTGCTGAAAAGACCAATCTTCCCCCGTTGAATTATCTTGGCATCCTCATCAAAAATTAATTGACTATAAATATATGGAATTATTCTGGACTCTCAATTCTATTCCATTGATCTATATGTCTACTCTTATGTCAGTACCACACTATCCTGATTACTAAAGTTTTTTGGTAAGTTTCAAAATAAAAAAGGTATGAGTCTTCCAACTTTGTTCTTTTTCAAGATTTCTTGACTATTTTGCATTTCCATATGAATTTTAGGTTCAGTTTGTTCATATTTGCAAAAAAGTAGAGCTAGGAGTTTGATACAGATTGCATTGAATCTATCGATAAATTTGGAGAGGACTGCCATCTTAACACTATTAAGTCTTCCAATTTATGAATACAGTCTGTTAATTTAGATTTTTAATTTGTAAAAAAATTAAAGAGAAACAGTAATGTTTTGAAATTTTCACTATGTAAGTTGATTCAATTTAAATTTGTGTCCCTCCTCAAATCTCATGTCAAAATCATAATCCTCAATGTTGGAGGAGGAGCCTGGTGGGAGGTAATTCAATCATGGAGGTGGACTTTCCCCTTCTGCTCTGGTAATATTGAGTGAATTCTCATGAGCTCTGGTTGTTTAAAGTGTGTAGCACCTCTTCCTTCACTCTATTCCTCCTCCTCCCACCATATAAGACATGCCTACTTCCCCTTTGCCTTCCACCATGATTGCAAGATTCCTGAGACCTCCTCAGCCATGGTTACCATACAGACTGTGAAACTGAGTCTTTTCTTTATAAATTACTGTCTCAGGTAGTTCTCTATAGTAATGCAAGAACTGACTAATACAAAGTCCTTATGCTTTTTTTGTTAAGTTCATTCCCAAGTATTTAATTTCTTGATGCTATTGTAAATGAAATTGTTCCCTTAATTTCATTTTCTTTTTTGGAGACAGAGTCTCACTGTCATCCAGGCTGGAGTGCAGTGGCACAATCTCGGCTCACTGCAATCTCTGCCTCCTACATTCAAACAATTTTCCTGCCTCTGCTTCCTACATTCAAACAATTTTCCTGCCTCTGCCTCCTACATTCAAACAATTTTCCTGCCTCAGCCTCCAGAATAGCTAGGACTACAGTCACACACTGCCACACCTGGCTAATTTATTATATTTTAGTAGAGACAGGGTTTCACCATGTTGGTCAGGCTGGTCTTGAACTCTTAAGCTCAATCTGCCTGCCTCAGCCTGCCAAATTGCTAGAATTACAGGCATGAGCCACCATGCCCAGCCTAATTTCATTTTCAAGCATGTTAATAAAGACTTAAGTCTACTTTTCAACTCCTCTCCATTCTACCTCCCGTTTGACTTAGCTAAGGTACATTAAACTAGGTTTCCTTCCTTGAATTGATAGACTGGGCATCTTCCCACTTCTGTACATTAAATCATACTCTACTCTCACCTTCAAAGTTCTTCCTTCACCTCTTTCATCTCCTCCACAAAGCCTCTCCCGATGCCATATAATCTGACACAATCTCTCCCTTTGTGCTTTGCTGGTTCTTGGCCAGTCCTCCAGCTCCAGGAGAGCACTCATTACTATAGCTGCCTGCCCCATAGAAGACCTTTTTGTCTCCCCTGACAAACTTGTGTTCTCTGAGGGCAGGGAACTTGTTTGATTCATTTCAGACCTGACAGGGCCCCACATGGTACCTAGCTCATGTTAAGTGGTCAATCCACACTGAGTGAGTTGCTGAAATGTTGAGAAGCAAATAAAAAATCATGGGCATTGAGTTGTGTTCAACAGCTTAGGAAATGCTGATCAAACTGGAATGAAGTTGCTAAAAAGGAGGAGCTTCCAGGCATAAATAGGGGCTAACACTCTGAAATGTCCATCCCCACAGAGACATCCACACTCGGGCTATTGGGGATCCTCAGACACATGCCTCAACACACATCAGTGTGTATCTCCTCCACTCCTTCCACAAAGGCTCAACGACCATGAGAGTCAGAAAGGATCTCAGAGATAACTCTGTCCAAGGCCCAGAAAGGGAAGAAAACCTCTCTAGGAAGGCCCAGACTATGAGCAACAGACGCAGAATGTGGACCCAGGAGTCCTGCCTTTCTGTGCAATGCATGTATACAAGGTCACCCTGCTTCTACACAAAGGGCATTCATAGGTAAATGGCACCAAGGAAGCCTTCTCATAGAAGATACCACATGGAGAAGGTGACATCAGAGACAAAAGTAAAGGAATAGCTAGCAGGCAAATTTTATGGGGAAGAGGTCTGCAAGCCTCCTGAAGGTGTCCTTTGCAGCACCACCCCAACTAGGCAGTCCCATTGCCCTTTATATATTTATATTAAATTTTATTTTATTTTTTGAGACAAGGTCTTACTCTCACCTAGGCTGGAGTGCAGTGGTATGAACATGGCTCACTGCAGCCTTGACCTCTTGGGCTCAAGTAATCCTCCCACCTTAGTCTTCCCAGTAGCTGGGACCACAGGTGTGCACCACCATGCCTGGTCAATTTTTTTTTTTTTTAGAGACGGGGTTTCACCATGTTGGCCAGTCTGGTCTTGAACTCCTGACCTTGGGTGATCCGCCCCCCATCGGCCTCCCAAAGTGCTAGGATTACAGGCGTGAGCCACCGCACCTGGCCTTTTAAAAATTTTTTTAAATTTTAAAATTTTCTGTAGCAATGTGGTCTCACCATTTTGCCGAGGCTAGTCTTGAATTCCTGAGCTCAAGTGATCCTCCCACCTCAGCCTCCCAAAGTGCTGGGATTAAAGGCATGAGCCACCATGCCCAATCTATACAAAATTTTAAAACATATATATATAATATGTCATTTATGGATTCCTGCCTCAGAGGAGAAGCTGGGGCCCCATAAGCTACTTTCCTAGCTTCCATACCATCACCAGCAGATGTGAAAAAGGGGCCCCCAAAATCCAGCCTTGCTATATTCTCAAAGCCATGGGACTATTCCTATTATGCCCTTTTCTCTGTTTACATCAGTTACCTCAGGAAGCCCAGCATCATCCCCATGTGGCTCAGGGCATATCCTTTTCTGTTTCTATCTCCCATTCTGTGTGTGTGTGTGTGTGTGTGTGTGTGTGTGTGTGTGTGTCTGTGTGTGTCTGTCTGTCTGTCTGTCTGTCTGTGACACTCTGACTCTTGTTGCCCAGGCTGAAGTGTAATGGCACCATACTGGCTCGCCGCAAACTCTGCCTCCATGCC